TGTACGGGTTTCATTACATGTACATCAACTAAGTAGTGCTAGTTCGGCTCTAGAGGTATAATTAATACCTAATCTAAATGGTCGCCGGCGCCCGTTCCTCGTGTCTGGTCATGAGCTCCGAGAACTGAAACTCCGCCTTCTCCAGCTCTGCCTCAGCATCTCCATCTCTACCTCTGTAACCTTCGCCTCCAGAGCCCCGGGGACCGAAGTTGTCCACCTCCATGTCATCGCCAAGCGGCTAATTGGTCGACGATGTTCAGCCCACCAAGCTTGGCTTCAACAGGAGGTGAGGAGCGGTGGCCTTCTTGGGACCCGAGCGGCGGCGACCTGTCATGCACTATCCTTCCTTGCTGCCGGCGGCGCCCGCGGACGTGCCGACTTCGTGGTCGTGGCACGGAGGACGAGGAGGGTGGCGCTGGCTCATCATCGGTCGCGTCCTCCATTGGGACATCGTCGTCCTCACTCCTCCGGCTGCCTGCCGACCAGCCAGCTGGCAACAATGGCGGCCATCTCCTTCTTCTGGTCCGACGTCAGCCCGTCCTAAAGAGCTTTGGCGGGGAGGAATCCATGGTGGGAGTGGTGCAGGGAGGGATCGAAGGCGGATGCCTGCGGCTACGGTCGGGGCCGCGGTTTATATAGCAATGGCGGGTGGTAGAGGGACGAACGGGTGGCGCGAAGGAGATGTCTCGGCAACCGCATGCCATCAATGTGGGGCGGCAGATGGACGGACAGCGACCATCGTGTCGTTTGAACGCGCAGCAGTCGCCTGCACCAGGAAGCGGCACAGACGGCGCTCTCTCAGCTGACGCGTCACTTTAATGCCGTCAGAAGTGAGCGGGCGCATCCGATCTGACCGGCCATGAATGCGGCACTAATGCTCAGGAGCGGCGCTAACCGTTGAGCGGGAAGCGCACAGGAGGGGAGAGCCTCACAACGGCTAGATGAGGATGAGTGTCAATCGGCAAGATTTTTACGAATTCTAGCACATTACATTCAACGTGCAATTGTATCAAAGGCATGTGAGCCACAAGGATGATAGATGAAAGCAAATGATTCCTCCACAAAGGCCAAGATAGCAAATTAGAATCGACTTTAGTAATTGTATTTTCTGAAATTGAAGAAGCATGCAGCCAATCAAGCTAATAAATGCAGTGCAGTTAATCATTTAGCAGCAACAATGTCCAACATATATGCCATTCGAAGTCTCTCGGTTCCAGTGATGCTAATCTGGCAATGGTGAATACAGACCCTCCTATCTGCTTACAGTGTTGTGCAAGCTTGGGAAGCATCGGGAATCATTTTATAGCGAGGCAGCCAGCATCTGCAACCACTTCTGTAACAATATTAACTAGATCCAGACGGGCACCATATCCAAACGCGCCATGGCAGACATAGCGACCGCATACCAAACTGAGAGAGCCAACTCCAGAATGGTAGCGGTGCCATACGGTCCACCTTGTTCATGATGTAAATGTATGATTACCTAGGTGTTGAATGTCATCAATCAACGTTGGCATACGGGAGTTGAGCAGGAGGTTCATGAGTAGCATTGTTAGCATGTCTCTCCTTCATCATCAATTGCAAGGGAATCTTCAACAACTAGTCCATGTTAAGATAATCTTAAGTCGAATGGACACAAAAGTAAATCCCAGGAGAGCACTCTATGGAGTGGCATATACAAATGCTCAATATAACCTTAGATGTATTCTTGTGCTTCCATGTCCGAGATTCCCCTAAAAGCTGCTATCATCAGGGATCCTAAAACTTCATACAAAACTGAGACATGGAACAAACTCATTGAGCTAGCGAGACTTCGCCCACGGTATGCTACATGTGCAAAACAAACAACCTGAGTAATACATAGAGCGGAAACCAGAGCTAACTCCAATAGGAAAAGAAGAGGTTGCTGAAAAACAAAGCATATAAACTTTCAATTTCAAACTAGACATGGATTAGCCAGCCGCTGATCATACAACGAGGACTATTTTTACCACAAGCCTCACAAATTTATATAAACATACACAAATATATGATGTATAAAATGAAAATGTGGTAGTTAACTTCAAAAGTTTTTTCTTAATATTCACTGAGATGGTACATACCATAATTTTCATGTTTTGGCAAATTAGGACTGAAGTATCCCCGACCTCATATCTCTGCAATAAAGAGCAAGATAGCGTATCATAACTCACTAGAAGAGAGTATCACATGAGCTAAAACTGAAAAGAAGGGTCCGTTCATATAAGTAAATAAACGCAACGCAATGAGGCACCTTCACAGCAACAACGCCCAACAAACAAACATGCGTACGTTTCAAGCCTCTTAGCTCCAATTACTCAATTGCTGATGCACGGAGCTCGTTCATATATTCAAAGAGTGGGGATCGACGTTTTCTGTAAATGAGTTGTGTATGCTTGAGAGGCACCAGGAAACGTTTTACTGCAACTTTGCTCTCAATCGGAATCATTTTACGCAGCTGGGTAGCCCGCGCACATGTACGAGTAATTTAGTCCATTCGCAATCATGGTACGATCAACGTTGCATCAAAATGATGCCTTGGACTCCATATTGCTAGCGGTCCTGTCACAACTTTGATCTTTGGGGGCGTAATCTGCAAGGGAGGATAGATTAGGATCAACACGGGAGTACTTGAGAGCAGTGGCAGGGCAGATGCCCTAGGTGCAGATGTTGTGTGTGAGGGGCAGGGGCTGAGGGCAGGGAAAGAAGGAGCATCTTCTAATTCTTTGCTTGCTCCAGTCTCATGGTCGCTCTCTCATTGTATAGAGAATCTTTTACAAAACTGACTCTTGACTCCATTTCTAACAAGAACTGGCATATGGTCTATTCAACACGGACTAACATGTAGCTTCCGTCTCAATAGCAATTATACCTAAACATGACACGTTCCGTCTTCAGCAGCTCCATCTTGTATTGGTGTTACCTCTGAACTAGGCTGCAGAGGCACCTAGCAGCGCCACAATGATTAGATGTCTGCCCCCACAACTCCATACTAGAAGAGTGCGTGTTAATGTCATTCCACATATTTTCTAAAATGAGGTGAATTAGTTGATTCCATCGACAAAACCAAAGAAGTTTTTTAGTTTAATTTCTAGTCCTAAAAATGATAGAAAATGTTTGATACGCAATTCCAACTGGTAGCTGTTCTTATCTGGGCCTACAACATGCTAATCGAACGGATGTCACATGAATGAATGATCCATCATGGCATCTACTGAGTAATGCTGTACCCAGCCTACCACCCGATGGCCGATCTTAATAGTGCACAGTCTACACACATAAGGGACATTTCGCAAACAAAGATAAAAGGAACATCCATATTGAATATCTATATTAATTTCTATACCACACACCCATGGTCTCGGTCTTTTGAACATGACATGCATATATACAAATATACTGTCAGCATTGAAGCAGACCATACTACTGATTGCCTCACTTTCCCTTACCAAATCCTGTTAGGCATTACAACCAGCCAACAGCTAAATGGACCTATGTCACATTCATTTCTCCTGGATATGCAACTTTATTCAGGGCAAGCATTTTACTTAACGAGTACAAACAACCTAAAATCAATGAGTAATGCATCAAAGTTTCCAAAAACAGAACATCTTTCTTACCATCTTGCTCAAGCTCAAGCTGCTCCAGCATACTTAGAAACAACCTAAAATCAATGAGTAGTGCATCAAGTTTCCAAAAACAGAACATCTTTCTTCTACCCTACATTTTACTATTTCGGAAAAACTTGCTATTTTGTATGCCTATTTTAGCCAAGAAATATAAGCCAAAATTAGTAGCATGGAGGGAGTTATCTCAGTTTTGTGATGGCACTGAATATATTCTTGTTTTGAAACGTATACTGATACAAATAACCATTTTTGTAATATATACCATGTCCTGTAAGCTTTGTACGACAGAATTTTTACCGGGGCTCTGAAGTCAGTGCCCATGTGAGCCCCAGCCCACGAAGAGCACCTAGAGCCACCAAATTAGTTCGTAAACAGGCAGGAAACTTTTGTTGCTCCTTAGAACACCAATGTTATTCTAGAAGTGCTTGATAAGAAAAACCTTCTCTAGTGACTCTTGCCACTATCTAAAAGCCCATTAGTAAGCCTTAATGGTGTGATGGACAGATAAAACAACAGTTGGAATGGGAGTGGTCCATTAGCTAAAAGCAAATGACAACGCCTCAAAGAAGCAGCAGTGACTAGTCAGTGATGTAAACTTCAGTCGAAACAAAAACACTATGAGCAGATACATGAGACAAAAGAGGCAGCTAATCTGTCAATACTCCGGTGACCAATCTATAAAAGAACATTCCAACTAAAGCATAACCTTGAGCCATGTGGCAGGGATAAGTACTGGCTAGCAGGCATGAGCAATAAGGCAATAAGACAATCTAGTTCCTTCATACCACATATCCAAAATTTGAACATGGATTGTAATCGATTCCTCAAAAGAAAATGAATTGTTTTTGTAGCAATCGGATAACTAGTTGTTAAATTGCTGAGACTAAGAACTAAGAGTGTTTGCACAATGGACGGTAGTAACTAATGGGTAGGATCTGCAGTGTTACCATCTGAACATGTACTACACTGAAGGATACAACAAGTCTTCAATATCTTAAAATGCCAAAGTTGGACTCGGGAGGCAACCTCCCCAGCACAAGCTGCGTCATACATATCAGCGAGCTCAGAGACACTGTCCTTCTGAAAATCAATGAACTTTGATTTCTTAGTCTCCTCAGAACGAGCAATTAATGAGTAAAAACTAAAGTTGTACAACAATTCATCTGTTGGCAGGACCTTTCATGATACCGGGAACCAGACACTTCTTCATGCAGTACATGAACTGTACGGACTTTTTATCAATTCACAGTCCACTCTGACTCTGAACCGATCTCACCGATCAAAAACTCAGTCTTGTGGCGACAAAACTCCTCGGATAATCTCAAAATGAACGTATTCTCGCACACCACAGTTTCAGCGTTGTAGCCGAGCACTTCCTTTTGGTGCTTTCCCACGACATGCAGAGGCATACTCATCAACTAGGCCTGGAACACTATCCTTATAAGGATCCACAAAATTCTGCACAAACTTCTTCTCAGCCAGCGATGCCATGGTATAATAGTCCAATTCCACGTCCAGTAATCCCTTCTGCCTGAGAAGCTTAAGCAGGGAGTACCGGGGCAACAACCACCTCTCAACGCTATACATGATCAGCGCTGGCCTTCGAGCAATGTACGAAGCCTGCAGACCGACATCCTTCATTAAGAACCCCACAGATCGCTGAATCTTTTTATCAGATAAAGCCAGGACAAGTGCCGCCTTCTTGGCGATATTCACCAAATCATCCTGTGAAAACCCAAGCGTATGTAAAAATTGTATTTTCCTGGCGAGAACGTCCTTGCTCTTGAAGGCGAGTGCAGCGAGTGCACGGCGGAACATCCACGAGCTTCGCTGCACGCCTAACTCCTCGATCCGCGCCACGGCGTCCACCAGAAACTTGGGTTTCACGGTGAACAACCGACAGGAGTACAAGCTTAAAACTGCAATATCAGGAGCACTTATCCCACATTCTTGGAGGGTGGCCAGGTTCGGCTTGATCACCTTCTCGATGCTGGCGCTGAGGAGCTCGCGGTTTGACTTTGCCAGAAAGAGCAGCTTGGGGTAGGAGTCGAAGATCCCGAACCAGAACAGGAGGTTGCCGCGGAGAGCGCCCGTGCGGCGGATCGAGAGGATGGCCACGATCTGCGAAGGCGAGAAGCCGAGTTCGCTAAGCTCGGCGAAGCGGGGGGCGAGGACCATCCCCACGCTGGCGTACAGGAGGGACGGATCGGCGACCACGGCGACGGCGATGTCGGAGCGGGGGACGCCGCGACCCAAGAGAAAGGCCACCGTGGCCTGGGGCTTCGAGAGGGAAGTGAGGTTGGAGAGCCTTCTGGAGGCCTTGAGGGCCTGCGCTCGGGTGAGGCCGCAGTCGGTGACGAGGAAGTCCTTGGCGGAGAAAGGTTTGGGGGAGATGGATGCGGTGGTGGAGAGGAGGCGGTGGAGGGGAACGAGGTGGGAGGCGGGGGGATGGGATGGTGGGTAGCGGAGGAGGAGAGGAAGGACGCGCGTTCGGAGGTGGTGGAACATGGCGTGGCGGCGGCGCCGGCGGCGGTCAGCGGAAACGTATGTTTTTTTTCTTTGAGGGAAAGCGGAAACGTATGCAGCGGCAGGGCGGCGGAACGTGGGTACAAAGGCCGGCCCATATCTGTACTGGGGTAGATATCCACTTATCCAGTGCTCCAAATTTTCAAAAATCACATGTAAGTGTTTCAAAAAATTCCGAAAATATTTGTCGACGCTGACATCACATTTTGAATTTTGATTTGAAATTTTTGGGGATTGTACATACAACTTGTGTATTTCGAATTTTAATTTGAATTTTTAAGGAATTGTACACTCATGTGATGTGAACATCCACAATTGTTTTCGGAATTATTTTGATACGTACTATAAATGTGCATTTTGAAAACTGGTAGCATGGGAGCACCAAATGGATGGGAGCACATGATATTCTCCCATCTGTACTATATCTATCTATACAGGCCTGGTCTCTGGCCTGCCTGTCCTAATGATCAGTTGGCTTTTCTCAATATTCATGAGGGTAGAAGTAGCAATTTTAAGGATCGTTTGTCCTGCTAAGCATGCTTAAACATTAGGTGTTGGCCACCATATTTGGTTGGGAGTGCCACATGATCTTGTAATGATGCCTATGAACATTGCTCAGTAATAAAGTGGCCCGACTTTAAAAAAAAATTGACTTTTCTCAAAAGGGGAAAAGTGGTCGGTCGACTTAGCACTATAGCTACCGCAAAACAAAAAGACTTAGCACCTTTTTCTGCGGGGGAAAGACTTAGCACTATGGCAGTAAAATATTTAACCTCTCCATTATTCTCGAAAGAAATCGAATTTTGCCGTGGAGTTTCACGGAATGGTTGCCAACTAAAGAACCAGCTTATATTTCTTAGAGACTTTATTTGAATCGGTGCTCAAAGCTAAAATGATTGTGTAGCCTTTGGGAAATAGTGTTTTCCACAATACAAGCCTTGAATTGCGGACATATATTGAACACATGTTCATTTTGCTCATTCTAGTTGCACATATAATTGAAATGAATAAAAAAAATATTTACACACTCCTACATGAATCGAACTTGGATGATCCAACTTTACGCCCAATCCTCCACCTAAGATAAGATAGATGACTTTAGACAAAGTCCATTATCCCAGGAACTTTTGGAGAATCAATACGAAGTATTTTCTGGTAATCAAATTCATTATTGAAAAAGCCACAAAGATACGGTTGTGGTGTCTCTTTAGCGTTGTAAGAGCATCTCTAGTAGACCCCTTAAAATCGCAAACTGTAAAACTCGGATGCAGGTCGAAAAACATGCATTTTAAGGGCTTATTTTAGCTACGGCGGAACAGATACTGTAAAACAAACTGTAAAACTGGGATAAAAAGCTTCTTCCTCCAGTCCGGCCGCCGCCGCCCCTTCCCCCAGCCAGCCGCGCCGGCCACGCCGGCCGCGCTCAACCCCCTCGGTCGCATCCCGTCGCCCGTCGGCTATGTTCCATTGCCCGTCGGCCGCGCCCCGTCCTTGCCGGCCGAGCCCCATCACCACGTCGGTCGCGCCCCGTCCGCCGGCCGCGCCTTGCTCTATTGCCAGCCGTGCCGACCGAGCCGTGCCCCTTTGCCTGCCGCGATTCTGGCGGCCAGGCTAATGTAATGGGAGGCCACGATGATGTCGAGCTCGTCCAATTCGAATCGGCGGCGTCTAGCGGCCTTTTCCGGTGTGCGGTGATGAATTCCGGCGAGTTTAGGGCGGATTCCGGCAAACTTCGCGACGACGTGTTTGCTCCGACGAGGTTTGACCGATATACGGGGCCCCTTCGGTTCGGCCTTCAAACCTCCAAATATAAGGGCTTCGGGTGTGCATTTGCGGCTGTCCTGGACACTTTTTTCGACCAAAAATGTAAAACCCAGGAATTATGTGGGTTTGACCACTTATACGGGGTCTGCTAGAGATGCTCTAAGCAAGGTGCAACAGAAAGCTGTTGGACATTCGGCTGGTATGGCGGCAACAATCTTAGATGAATACTATCATTTATTATGTGATTTTCCTCATATTTTGAGCATTGTCCTAGGGAGGCCAACTATGCAGCTTATGAATTATCAAAATTGGTTACGAGTTCTATTTGTAGCAGGGGACTGGATGAAGCTCCTAGGGTTTTAACCCCCTCTTTAACAATGATGTAAGGGCATCTCCAAGGGAGACCTGTAAAACTCCGGTATATGTCCGCCGGGACAGTTTTGTTCACTTTTGCAATCTAACGAGATCCTGCATCGGTCCGCGAAGTGGTCCGGACGTTCGTTTTTCAACAAAGTGGAGACAAACATGGGGGAGCTATACCGGAGTCCTGACATCTACTTGACCAACCAAAAGCCTCCTCGTGGTCCTCCTCTCTTCTCTCTATCCGCACATGCATGGTCCCACTCTCCTCTCTCTCCTCCCAACCGGACACCACAACACAATAGCCCACCACATGCATGGTCCCCATCTACTTTTTCTCCTCACAACCGAGTACTTTGTAATTAGCATTGGATGGTTCCCACCTGTATCATGTCAGCAGACCACGCCCGGACATAAAAACAAACATATACTAGAGGAATTTGCGGGTCAGCGTTGGAGATGCCCTAACAATTATCACCAATGAATAAAAGAGGATTGAGATGTCAAAGGGCGACGAATGATTGAAATGCGGTTTAAATCAAAGACCCACAACAAAATATCTCAACATACAAAACTAAAAACATATTTAATTTGCTTATGTTTCAATACTTCATTTGTCGCATCATGTATCTTCCTAAAATATGTCACCTACATTTCCAAGTACGAGCAAGACATATATGCAAATGATTGGAATAGAAATACATTTAGTTTAATTCTACATTTAACTCCGTTGTCACATGCATTTGCTCTTAATTATGCATGAGCTACCAATAGACCCTGCTTGACCACTCCCATTTCTTAGGTCTATTTGATTCAAATGATTCTTATAGGAATATTGAAAGGTCAAAATACCTACAAATGTTTTCAACATGAATGGTTTGATTTGTCGCATCAAATTCTACAAAAAAATGTAAGGATTTGTTTACATATGTAAATGTATGGTTTGATGTTAAGTTTTAACTTACCATTGTTTAGGCTAAGCCAAAAATTGGCTACTAAGTGTTTGGTTACCAAATTGCCCAGCCTCTCAATATAAGTTGCCCGCTTTTGGGGAGTTTTGACATTTCCAACTATCAATATACCAAAACAATGGCTACCCAATTTTTAGTACAAAATCAGGCATACCCTATACTCATAAGAGTTTGTCCGTTTCTCAAAACTTTTAGGGAATGCCTTTGTTTTTCATGTTATGCAAAAAAACAAAATCTTGTAGGTTTTTTGGTTTATATGAGTATGACATTGTGACCATGAGTATTTTTTCCTATTCATGCACTTTTTTGGAATTATGTGAATCAGAGAAGCCCTTAAATGAAATACTCCCTCTGTAAATAAATATATGAGTGTTTAGATCACTACTTTAGTGATCCAAACGCTCTTATATTTCCTTACGGAGGGAGTACTAGGTAATTCAAGTTTGCTGAAAAATATAATTTCCCATATCAATTATGTAAACTTAAGATGCATACAATCACACATAAATGTGGTGAAATGATATCTAGAAATCATATGATTACATGTTTTAGGAAATGGAATTAGAAGGTTGCAATGACATATACTCCCTCCGTTTGGAAAAAAGTGGAGTGGTTTTAATTCAAATTTGAACTAAAACCACGCTACTTATTTCCGAACGGAGGGAGTATTTGGTCATAGTGGGAGTATATCTCACTAACATTGGCTACAACCATAGTATTAGTGCCCCTATAGTTACATGAATGATAAAGAACTCACATATAACCACACATTTCAACAACTATAAAAAATATACCCAATAAAGCCATAAAAGGGTACAATAGAATTAACACATGAACAAAAAATATATCAATTAAAGAAAAAAAAGGTCATTTCCATAGTTCAAATCAATGATGCGTAGTTGTTGTAAATCATAGACTGCTTTGATGTTCATACTATCACATATGGGGTTGGGCTTCCAAATTGTTTTCTCTCACTTGATACAATTATTTTCAGTCAATCCGTAAGTCCTAAAGGTCCATTTTGTAGTACAAACACACCAATTACCGCTACTTTCTAGATTGTGGATTAAAAATATGCACCGTCTAATTTCACCACATAATCAACGACCTTCCTTTTGTACTCCACTCATTTTTATCAGGTTGTTCTCGGAATCTAAATCATTGTCATGGGCATGGGCTCAACCCCGAGCTCAAGCTATGGACAGATTTAGTGGTCATGTCAACGGTAGCATGCAATACCGCAACACAACAATGTTATCTAATCAAATAAAGAGATTAGACCTTATTTAAGGAATTAAATACATAGATAGAAATAGTTAGAAAACTAGAGATAGCTAGGGATAGGTCTAGTTTCTTACAATTCAAGATTATTTCTTGTATGTTAGGACTAGTTTCTTAGGGATCAATTCAAAAGTATTTTCAACAAAATAGACACTAAGCATTGATTTATAATTAAGCAATGAGTTAGTCAGAGGACACAAACTAAAGCATGGGATCCTCTTTGAATCATGCCTATGATTAGGCACAACCTATGGCTAGATGTCATTAAGCATCATATCCCCGGTCTTTGGATCTTATCAACTTTAGATACGACAAACCTCATGTAGGTGAAGTCGTGTCAAGGCATGTATATGACACCAAAACAAGTTTCACAATAATAGCCAAAGATGGCAAATCAAATTTGGCTACGAGAGAGTACTACATGTGTTGAAATCTAATAAGCATGCATCCATGCAAGTCGATACATGCAATGTAGTGGACTATCTTCACTTCATGCAACAATGTGCAACACAAAAACATGTGTCCATCCAAGCCTCTCAGTTACAGATACTCTAGTTATGTGGGACACGGAGTAGATACATAACTTGCTAGGCTTGAAAGGCATTG